ATAGACACATATACATATATATATTTATATATATATATACATATATAGAGAGAGATAAATATAGATATATGTATACAGATATATATACATATATACATATATATGTATATATACATACATATGTATATATGTATATACATACATACACATACATATATATAAACATATACATAATATATATCCATATATATAACATATATAATATATATACATATATACACATATATAATATATATATACATAAATACACATATATAATATATATATACATAAATACACATATATAATATATACATATATAAATACATATATATACATATATATACATATATATATATATATATATATATATATATATATATATATATATATATATATATATATATATATATATATATATATATATACATACATATATATACATACATGTATACACATACATGTGTGTATATATATGTATATATATATAATAACATAAATCAATGAATATATATATATATATATATATATATATATATATATATATATATATATATATATATATATATATATATATGTATGTATGTATGTATGTATATACGTATGTATGTATGTATATACAATGTATGTATGTATATACGTATGTATGTATGTATATACGTATGTATGTATGTATATACAATGTATGTATGTATATACAATGTATGTATGTATATACAATGTATGTATGTATATACGATGTATGTATGTATATGTATGTATGTATGTGTACATGTATGTATGTATATATGTATATATAAATATAGGTAGATAGATAGATAGACAAATATATTTACATGCATGTATGTACCAACAAAAAGCAAGAAAATAAAAAAATATATATAACTACCTTTCTTACATGTAGACTCAATATCAAAGTCACAGAAGTCATCAAAATCTTCATCATCCATGAGCATAAAATTGGACACTGTTGCTGGTTCTGGTTTCTTTGTGATGACCTGAGGAGATCTGGTAGAAAAAAAAACAAGAACAGTGTAAGTTTATTTTACCCTCTGTAATCTGAGAAAATAATATATACAGATATTGGTTTATATGGGTAAGAATAAAAGTGATTATTTTTTTACTTAGTTTTATTAGAAAAGATACTTTCTGCAAAATTAGTCTTTAATAAAACTATAAGAAACAAACTTGCTATTAAATGAAAACTCAAATAAAACATCTAAAAAAAAAGGATAAAATATAAATGCATAAGAAGCCAAAAAAGCAAATAAAAAGCAAGGTTTTCATTCACCGAACTTTTCATTCAGTGACCATTCACAAACATACATCACTAACTCAGAAACCATCATCATCATCATCCTCATCATCTCAAGCACACAACACAATCCCCCAACTAACACTGTGGCAACTGGTTTTGTTATCTTCTTCTCCGCCTGGCCAAGAACGCTTTCTTTTGAGGTCTTTGTCTCCGGATTACTGAAAAAGTCAACCATCCTCTTCTGCCTTGGGGAACGGCCCAAAACACGGCGTTTGACTACTTTAGACATCTTTTTATTCCTATCTGCAAAAACTGAAAGAAAGTGCAAAAAATAAAACAAAAATTGTGTAAGACACACACCTAAGGAAATAAAAATTGTTGCTACTTAAACTATGTGGGAAAAAAAAAATGATTTTACATATTCATAATAACAATCTGCAGTTACACATTAAATCAAAATCAAAATCAAAACAAATACTGTGCATTTACTTAACTAATCACAGGAAAACAATTTTTTTTTTTTTTTTGGGGGGGGGGGCTATTCACTAACTACAGATTATGGATTTATCTAAAAGAACTTAAACACTACACAAAAATGACATGCAACATATATACTAAAAAAATCATGCTCTGTCATCATAATAGTTAACAAGGAGAGCAAAATTGTACATATTCTCAAGCATACTGGGTTACAAAAATCTAAAATGCTACAGTATTATTATGAACTTATCATGGTTAGGTTACCAGCAGTTGGAACAGACAATTAATTATAAGACTTTTCTCCATAGCTTATTAATTTGAAACTGGATATAATATTCCATTTGCAAATTAAATCAATCAAATGGACCTCCTTGGCAGTTTATCATCAAACAAAGGAACACCTCTATGCTCTACAATAGACATAGTGGTTTGCTGGCTTCTGATTGAACACTGACAGTATGTAAGTATATATGACTTGATAGATCTGTCACTAATTAAATGTTTGTTTTTTACTTTCAGCTCGTAAGGCCTAGGTCACAGTCAAATAATATATTTAAATTCATCAATTTAGTGATTCAGTATACCTTTTTACATTATGCATTTTATGTTGGTCTTGGTACAAGACCAATATATTTTCATTTACAATAAATTCCAACTGGATCCTGTAAAATAAATCACAGGAAACTTTTAAAAGTAAATATCTCTTACCCAGGCCTTGAGAATAACTTTCTGTCAGAAAACAAAGCTAAGAAAACTGATTTAAGATGTTAAGTTTAAGCTTAA